CAAAACATGAGGCATGTTTCATGAATTTCTTCTTACCAAATATACAAATGAATGTTTGAAAGTTTCTTTGCTTTTCCTGAACAAAACATTGTCAAAATATATTTTATTATTTGTTATATGATTTTTCAATGTTCTTGGATCAAACATATGGTGAACAGGATGAAGTAATTGAGATTTTTGATGCACAGAACATTGGAAAAACAGAGGCAAAAAATTTAACATGATTTTAAATTGTTATTTGAAGAATGATGAGTGAAAAAGATTGACTGTTTCCCGAGGGAAAATGACACATTTTTATATTATGTCTTGCATACAGAAAATCTTTAATACATTCATTATTTTTTTTCAATGTTTTGATACACAAAATGCAAGGAAATTTCTATCTTCTAATTCAATGTTTTTTGGATGTTTGATGGAGGAACATGAGGCAATGCCTGCAGTGATTGCTGATTTACGAGAGGCAGGAAAAAAGGTAAAGGAGGAAGCCCGTCAGCTCTTCCAAGACAAAGTTGACCACATCATCATGTGTCTGATATGTGTCCAAGGCTTGGTACCACATGTAATAGAGTCTCCAGAGTGGAAGGATTTAATGGGGCTTCTCAGCGACTCATATAATCCCACGTCTGCCACAACATTTGCAGATAAATACATCCCTCACGAAGCCGTCTACATCCACGAGATGCAAATCAAGACTTTGCATATGATCAACAACCTTACTCTCACATTCGATGGAAACACCACACGAAAACCACATTCAATCTACACTGTTCACGCCACAACTCCTTCACATGAAACTTACTTTCTTGATGCTCATGAAGGATCTGACGAGCAACACACTACGCAATGGGTGACTGATAAGCTTTTCAAGGTTCGTTTAACTGCTCTTTAACTTGGCTCCATCTGATCATATCACAGACAGTCTGCTCCGTTGGTGAAGGTAATAGGGGAGCCACATGCTCAGATAGCACAAATGTTACGAAGGCTGCTTGTCGTGAGCTGGTTACCACTGTTGGCACTATGCTGGACCTTTGTGATGCTGTGCACCACCTTCATAACATGATTGGAGACATCAACAAATTGCCAAAACTCAAATTTGTGAGTTTCATCAACTCGAGTTTATTGAGTTTGAGCTAATTCAACTTTCACATTTTTAAAGTTCATGTCAATGCTCAAGGGCATCATCAAATATTTCAGCAAGTCTACATACTCGACCACCATGCTTCGAAAGGAACATAATATAGCTGGCAATGATGAGCCTGTGAAGGCTCTCAAGAAAATTGGCAAAACTCGTTTCGGAACTCACTGGACAGCTGCCAATGCTCTTGATCCCTGTTTACCCCATATTCGCAACCTCGTGGCTGCAAAAACCATCAAATTCAAGGTAATGTTCTCCGTCACATTTTCAGAGTCAAGTTGCAATATGCTGATCATTGGGTCAGAATACCAAAATCCAGGGCATGTTTATGAACCGGGCTTCAGGCAAATATAGCAGGTTCAAACAGAGTTTACTCCAGTATATCACCATTGTTGCACCCATTATTTGGTCATTGTGGTCATTGGAAGCAATGCATTGGACGTCTTCATTTTCTGGCTCGCAATCATAGCCACGCTCAATGACCTGTTTTTAAAAGGGCCGAATGTGACTGGTATACCAGTAACTCTCACCCGTGAAGTGATGGCTATCATCAATAAACGGTACTGTGATTTTTTCACCAATGAAGTCTACTTTGTTGCTTTCCCATTGGACCCACGTAAGTTATGAAAAACCTTGCCTTGCACTCGCAATTGACTTCGGTTAAATCCAGGGTACCCAAACTCCAATTTTTTCAAAAAGCCTACTGTGAACACAACAACTATTGTTATTCCTGCAATATCTCAGAGAACTGGCCAACATACTCCCCTCACATATCCCCATGCCTATACTCGCATCAAAGATTTCCTCAAAGACAAGCTTCAGAAAGACCTGGCTCACTATGTCACGAATCCCGAGTCTGCACTACCAACTTCAATCTTCAAGGTACTTTCTGCGGCGGACATTGCGAGTGGGTTGTGGCACCAGATCGAAGTGTTTTGGCGTGATGAATGGCCCTTCAATCAGCAAGTCAAAGACAGTAACCCACTTGTGTGGTGGGAATCTTTGCAGGATCATCCACATGCTCGTGTTCTTGCTGTAAGTTTTGCTTTTTTAGTCAACTTTGTATTAAGTACAATCATCCCCGCAGCACCTCACCATTAAGATATTTTCCGTTCTTGTCAACTCCATGCCCAATGAACGTACAAATTTGACCATCACATGGTTCAATTCCCCAATACGAGGCAGCCAAAATGCCCAGACACTCGTCAACATGATACAAATTGGACAATGGTATGGAAAACATCATAACACGGAGTACATGCCATCAAAATATTGGCCGGTCATCAAGTTCCAGAACATCGAAGAGAGTGTGCTACAGGCTGTCCAAACTGGCAGCGCAGATGATGAGTTAGTGTTGGATGTGGGCGCAATGGATTCGGACAACGAAGATGAAGCTGAGGACGAGCTGTTGGAATCGGAGATAGACAAACACCAGCCCGCTCAAGATGTTGCCTTTGAGATTCATCCTGACATCGATATCAACTCGAAGGCATTGAAGGATATGATCTCTACTGACCCAGTTTCTGTTGTCTCCGTTGACCTATCATTTGTGTTGTCTCCGCAGGCTGCCACGATGGTGACTGATGACGGAGATGCAGACTGGAATTATTAGACTCGCAGATGACCTTTTTCACAATTGTTCACCGTGTTTCATTGTTAACAATGTTAATAACCTATTTCTAACTCGTTAGTAACACAAATGTTAGGAATTGTTATTAACCTGTGTTAACATCAGCCCTGGAGCGCCCCATGTTACTAACAAATGTTACAAATCGACCGTGAATTATTCACCGAGCCCTAGTGTTGTGATGATAGGATATTCAGCATTAGTTGGATTTAGGGAAGTTAGATTGGTTTGAGGTGTTGGGTGAGGCGGTGAGGCGGTGAGGCACTGTTGGGCGCCTGGTGGTTGAAGTTTTCCGGGGTCCTAGTCGGGGTGCCACCTGGTTCTAAACCAAGAAGCACTATAGTCCACGCTCCTACCCAACAGACATTTCAAGGGTGAGGGTCCCATCTAGTACAGTAGTAGATAATCAAATAGAGCAATTTTTTCTCATCTACCATAATTCAAACACTGAACTTCTCCCTCCACCCTCTCAATGACCGCTGGCGCAAAACACAAGAAAACAAGTAAAGCCACAGGTCCATCAGTAGATTTACGAAGTCCACCACCCAATTAAGTAATTGTTAAGAAGCTTCCCCCTTAGCAAATCTCAGACGTGGTGCCCTCGGTCAGCAAAATATGCAATAAAACCCTTCAAGTCTTTGGGCAGAGACCATGCCTATGGCAGATCAAAGTCACGCAAGCTGTCCTCCAACACAACCAAGATGTTGTTTCAATATCTGCGACCAGCTCCAGAAAAACATTGACATTTTGGATGTCAAAAATACAAACTTCATTGAGCATACTGTAGTCTAAAAAATACATAGTGTGGTCCTACAATTTTCACGAGTGTCATCCGACAAGAGGTGTGTACATCCAATGGGACCTCCAAGTCCTCAGATCTCTCTTCGACATCATCAACCTCTGCCCAATATTGTTCTCCATCTTCATCAGCGATGTCATGTGCCATCATTGGAACAACAAACTTCTGATTGGCTGAGAGCAAGGCATCCAGCAGGTGCCACAAGTCCAGTGCGATATCCTTGATGTCTTTGGCCATATCTTCTAGCTGGAATTCCTCCAGCTGCTCAGCAAGGACATTGGTTGCGCTAAAATGCCATCCATTTTCTTCTTTCGAAAGCTGCACTACTGATTGTTTGAGCCGCTCAGTACATAAGGTGGACGCCCACGAGACAATCAACGAATTGAGATTTGGGTGAGCAAGAGAAGTTGCCAAGATTGTTGTAAAGTGAGCAGCCAGGTCATTGATAGGAAATTGTGAAAATTCATAGGGGGATTCCAAGAGAGAAATTACAAAGGCTGAGACAGAGACATTGAGTTCCATGAGTGTTTGCAGGATACAAAGTACCCATGTGCATGTGTAATGGTCATACTTAGCGAATTGATAACAGCGCGGACAACTCTATACACTTGCCAAATTGGCTCAAGCGTGAATTGGTCCACAGGTGCGGAGGACCTGTGGCTTTACTTGTTTTCTTGTGTTTTGCGCCAGCGGTCGTTGAGAGGGTGGAGGGAGAAGTTCGGTGTTTGAATTATGGTAGATGAGAAAAAATTGCTCTATTTGATTATCTACTACTATACTAGATGGGACCCCCACCCTCAAAACGTCTGCTGGGTAGGAGCATGACTATAGTCGAGTTTTTCATGCAAAGTTTAGTATACTGGCATGCACTGCGGCTCAACGCATAAGCATCTTCATTTGTTGATTCTATATACATTCTATCTAATACAACTTCTTCAGCTGACAGGTATGTGCACTGCGGCAGCCCACTGGAGGCTAGTAGTCCAGAGCGGCCTCCAGCAGCTTCTCGGCTGCCCAAGCTGCCGCTCATCTGTCTCCTGTCTCACCACCCGTCATCTATAAAGTAAGGGAGAACGGTGGCGGGAAGGGACGGACGCTCGCGTGGTTTCCACTTGCACCGCGTAGATATGCTTAGATACGCTTAGATTCGCTAAATGCCATGTGGTTTCGCTTACCTTGCTTAAAGCTCAATTTGGAAACTCGTGTGGCTGTCACATGATCTCGAGGGTCCGCTGCCCGTTAGGGCAGCAAGCATTTAAAAACATTTATTATTTATGAAATTCAAATTATATACACACAAAATTTAACTACATAAAGAAGAAAAGTCAATTGAGAAATGGGAAATGAGAATGGGAGAATGGGGGAGATGGGAGAACAGAGAAAATGAGGAAAATTGCAGAACAAGAGAACAGAGAACAAGAAAACAGGAGAAACAGAAAATGGAAGAATGGGAAAAATGGGAGAACAGGAAAATGGGAAAAGGGGGGAAAGAGGAGGACGGGAGGAGGACAGAAGGACGGGAGGAGGACAGAAGGACGGGAGGAGGACAGAAGGACGGGAGGAGGACAGAAGGACGGGAGGAGGACAGAAGGACGGGAGGAGGACAGAAGGACGGGAGGAGGACAGAAGGACGGGAGGAGGACAGAAGGACGGGAGGAGGACAGAAGGACGGGAGGAGGACAGAAGGACGGGAGGAGGACAGAAGGACGGGAGGAGGACAGAAGGACGGGAGGAGGACAGAAGGACGGGAGGAGGACAGAAGGACGGGAGGAGGACAGAAGGACGGGAGGAGGACAGAAGGACGGGAGGAGGACAGAAGGACGGGGAGGAGGACAGAAGGACGGGAGGAGGACAGAAGGACGGGAGGAGGACAGAAGGACGGGAGGAGGACAGAAGGACGGGAGGAGGACAGAAGGACGGGAGGAGGACAGAAGGACGGGAGGAGGACAGAAGGACGGGAGGAGGACAGAAGGACGGGAGGAGGACAGAAGGACGGGGGGATGACAGGACCGGAGGACAAGTGAGATGGGATCAACACATTCAATTTTACTTTTACTTTTCTCATCTGCACAGAGAACAGGGAAACAGGAGAATGGGAAAATCAGAGAACTTATGAGGGGAACATAATTTGCTACAAAGTGCTTTGTAGCACTGTAGCGCAGTATCTCCTGCTGAGAACAGGAGGGTTCGATATATCTGAATGTAACATATCATGCTCAACTTGATGAATACAATATAGTTTATTTCAAGACCTAAAATAATTATTAAAATACCCAAAGTAGGATGAAGCCGAAGGCCAGGAAGCCAACAAAGAGCGCGAAGCGCTCTTTTTGCTTCCTGTGCCGAAGGCACAACGGGTGTGTGCTAGTATATTCATGATAATGTGACAGGCAAATGCTAGATCTCATTTTTGGATATATTGAAATGGATGCACGTGTTTTTGCATGAATCAATACCCGTGTACCGATTGTCTTCTCATGGGTCCCGACAGCGCCGTGCTGCAGTGTTATTCCCACCTTCGAGCTACTGCGTATAAAATACATGAGATGGTGTCATGCTAATAAAAATTGACACCCTTCATCATTCTTCAACAAGATGTATCTCATGAATGCCTTACTTGGTTATGTGATGCCATATCTAGCGGTAATATTCAATCTAGTCTCGTCACCTACGATGAACAAGTGGGGTGATGTTGCTTATTACAACCCGACTGACGCAGGGGGTTCAATGCTCATCAATGCTGGCGATGGATACGGTGAACCTATGAATGTACTTTTCTTTCATCACTGTCACGCCCTAGTCTACTAATGTATAACCTGGCTGACCCCGACAATTTAGGTCATCATCTCTGGTCTTAGCTCCCCCGCTGTCCTCACACTTGACGGAGCTATCAATTTTGCCCGTGCTATTGGGTTGTAAGCATGGAAATAATTGCGAACTGCGTCTTACTTATTTGCTCATGATAGTTCTGAAGAATGTTTCGGCCTTCACTTAGGCGGTTATATGCCCGCCGACTTGGGAGATGGAAATGGGTGGGTCAATCAAACGATTGAGCTTCGCCAGGACTATGGAAGCGCAGGAGGCGGAACGTGTCTTGAGAGCCTCGTCGGAGGAAATCATTTTCGGTAAATTTATTGACTGGTGACCTAGGACGGTGATAATATTTGTTCAGCATTTTTGTACAGAACGGCACTGCGGCGGACAGCGGCGCTTTCTTCCTAGCGTAAGTACCCTTAAATTGTCTTAAGTATTAGTAGCTTACTTGATGTGCCAGCGTGTCTCGAGAGGAGGTGCGTGATTCGCCAGGGTTTTGTTACACATCTGAACGCCACCCTTAGCCCGCATCAAAGCATCATGATATCATCCCAAATGGGTACAACATTGGCCGGTAAATATCTCTGCTTGTGACGCACGAGTCATTAATCCAGTTTTAGCAACCAGCTGGTGTCAGCAGCAGTTGGTGAAACAAGATATCATGGGATCAAATACTATACTACCGCCCAAAACATTACTGGTCTCCTCAAACCTGGCGCTGATGGTATTAATCATGGTGAGCTTGATCGGCTCAATAGTTGCTCGTCTGACATCAGGGCCTCTATCAGGCATTGCTCAAGATGGTATTGTCGCGTTGTTGACCATCACGATCTATTGAGAACCCCATGATATTTTTTCGTTCCTCCGGGACTTCTCGATACTTTGCTCGTCTCGTTGTCGAGTATTGACAAGTGAAGATGCTAGAGTAATGCTACAAATGCTGTGTATGATGTGACACAAATCAATGAAGTAAAGCCAAATGCAAAGAATTCGAAAATATCTTGGACAGGACCAAAAACTATCAATCCATACCACTTACAAATCAAGATCCACTTCTCCCTCAGCATCTTTCTCGTCCCACATAGACTCGTCTTGATCTGGCTGTGACGACCCTATCGTCTCAGGTACCTCGGAACTTCGCGGAACGCTGTCATAACCACATTCGGACCACATGAGTTCTTCTTCCTCGGCTTCTTGGCGGGTCCGGCGTCGAACGCGATTAAGAACCGAATCAAGCTGGAAGTAGTTTGCATCGTCCATGGCAAACTTGCGATGCCTCCGGTCCTGTGTGTGCTAAAGGACTGAGGGTTAGGATACTCGTGTACAGGATTAAACGCGATCCTACCGTGTCGAAATCATCGAACTTTACGCGACAACTCTCACAGTAACCAGGTTTGCTCCCTTCATCGCGCTTTGGCAATCGAAGGGTGTTTGTACTCCTGCTTTTCCTGAGCAGTGGGCGATCTGGAATTGTAAGGGGTGGGCCCATGCCTCCCGCTTTTCGGCTGAGAGTGTGGGTTGCATTCGGGGCTTTTCGAGACGTCACGACTTGTTGTTGAATCCTGGACCGAAGAGAAGCAGGTAGTTCCAGCGTCCTAGAAGCACCCCCTGCGGTGGATGTTGTGCCTCTTGTGGATGTAATACAAACGCTATTGCCAGATGCTGCAACGTATGAACCAACACCCGTAGAAGCAAGGTAGCCCGAGGCGGTCGCTGACTCTCTTGTATCACCATCTCCGTAGTCAGCATCCAGGTCAACGTAATCTTCAATAGTTGCCTGGCGATGTAAATTATTCATCGACACTGAGCGGCGGAGGTCGCCAGCTTTGCCCGAGAGCATCTGCACCTCCGCCTGCCTTTTGCGCTTCAGAGCCTTAGCCACCTTCTCCGCGCGTTCGTTCTCGTTCTCCCTCTCCGCCTTTTGTGCCCGGTCCCAACGCCTCCGCTCCCTTTCATCAAATTTTATAAAAGGCCCCGAGACCTTGGGTCACAGTACAGGACCGGATACGAGGGTTGCTCTTTCCCGTCGTGCCCCCGTTGTACGGGATATTCTAGAGCATGGATCGTCGCTAACTCCTGTCGCACGTCTTCTATAAGCACAAAATAACTGTGTTTTGAGAAATATCGATAATCATGTCGCTTTTGAGTGGGGTCACGTTCTGTGGTGGTACCATGAAGACGTTCGGTTTGAAGTAAGCTAGATAGTGATCGTTTGTTGGAAGCAGGGGCAAGAGAAGTGGCTTGTGCAATAGGTTTCGAAGGGGAGAATGCAAAGGCTGGAACATCACATCGTTCCAGAATGTTGTCAAGTTTTGCCGGACTCCAAATCTTCATGTTGAAGGCCTTTGCCTTCTCCACAAGGTTGAAGCTCTGCGAGGTGGCATCCTCGGTGGTACTGTAAATTGAGGATGTCAGCATGGTCTATAATAATGGAATAACTCGGTGCACCGTCCACGGAGCTTGATTGGGCTTTTCAGTGAGCTCGCTCGTGCGGAAAAGCCTTGTAATCGATTCTCCTTGTTTGCAGTAGGGTCGATCGGAGTGATAGGTTGATTAGTGATAAGATGTGTGATCTCGTTTGAGAAAAAGTCATCTACTTGCTAGAAGCAGGTTGACGGAGTGTCAGACGTTTGCGCAATGATCACGGAGAATTGGCCATACTGATTTGAGGTGCACCACCCGGGCTACTAATGAATCTCGCAAGGCAGCACTCTCAGGATCCGACAAATCTAAGTCGAAATAGAAGACCCATGCAGGAAATGCACGAGTGTACTTGATACGAAACTCGGCCTTCTGAGCCTCCCTTTCTACGCGCCTTCGTTCCTTATCCTTGCGGTCCTCGCCGTGGATGACTTCTGTTGGAGCATGTCTCACCCGCTTGACGGATTCATCTGCTGTAGGGTCCGGTGATCGAGGACGTTTGAGCAAGAGGGAGGCTGAACGGATTCCTTGTTTGAAGGGAGACATGGTAGGAGGAACTTGAAGTGGCAGAGTTCGTGTACTTAGTGGACGGCGGTTGGTTGTAGGCATGACTGGGAGCCAGTTAAGGCTGAGACAAATAGGACCACGTCACGCAGGTGATATGATGAACAAGAGGCAGGATGAGGATACGGTGGGAAAAGATAATATAACAATGTCCAACTCGATGGTAAGACGCGACTCAGCAATTACTTCCGGTGTGACCACAAATAAACAACGCGTGCGTGCGATGATACATCGATTCATCGTCTTATTACCCAATGATTCAACATCTGATTTTTACTTCAGTCCCTTCAATTAACGTTGCAAACTCCCGAAATGACTAGTATAGGGAAACACCCGGTGTGGTTCTGCCAATCCAAACACTTGGAGAAAGGCCAGACACCAGACGAGCCACCAACGACAATACATACTTTGTTGGACAGTACATTGAATGATTAAATTTGAAGGCATAATTGGGTGGCACGTGACAATCACATGACCGCGTACGATTTTACTTCCTACCAAAAGACAATGTCGCGTAGGTATCATCCTGCGTGGGAGACTCGAATGAGCATCGTGAAGGCCATGACACGACGCAATGAAAATCAGGAGTACACACAGGTAAATGCATCTGTCACTTCAGCCAACGGGCTTTCCGTCAATTCCTTGGCGCGCCTATCAGCGCTTTGTGAGAATAGAGAATCATCCAATGCCACGAAGATGTCCAGGCTACCCAGAGAATCTTGATCACAAACAGTATGTTGAGGACTAATCCGCAGAGTACATGTACACTGGCTCTCCTTCACTTTTGCGGATAGGGGCATCACCACGAACGGGAGTGCCTTCTTGTAGGACCGCTTTTCTTGACATCCTGTTGGGTTAATGTTCTCCTTGTTCGAGACGGATTCAAGACGAGTGGAAGGCATGACTGGTTTCAGTGGCGTATGTAGAGAGTTATGTATCACGGACGAAATCGACGGGTGGTTACTTGCAGCATCAAGATTTCAAGACTTTATAAACCGGGGACCTCGATGCATTGCTTGTCATGGAAACGGTGGACTGTTCCTCAGGTGGTGCAAGCATGAACAATGGTTCATTAACCAAACAAACCAGGCATCCAAGGAGCTACATCCCGTTTTGAATATTATTGAATCATGTCTCACCGGTCTGTGGAATTTGTGGACGCGACGATGCATCTACTTAGTACAAAAGTCCATGTTCATGTTTGGTTGTGTTAGGAAGCGAAGGATTTTGCCAATTAACACCAAACAACAGTCGGTGAAGTAGTACTAACTATCATCTGACAACCGATAGTCTTCGCGTATTTTGGAATGTCACTGTTTAGTGATGCCTGGAATCAGCACGAACGTGACATGGATTTGGCACTGGGCATCCTACCACACATAACATCTCAGTTCTTCGTCCCTCGAATGGTCGACAAACCTCAAGACCCCATTGTGCATGCAATTGATAGGGAGAATGCTACAACTCTAGAAAAATGCCATACGCGTGATTTTGACTCAAGAGATATTGCTCGCGCTCGAGATATTCCTGCACTTCCCTCGTTGTCACCAGAGGTGCTATGGGCAAATTCAGTCACCAGTGGTGATCATCGTTCAGTGAGAACCTCCTGTGTCGTGGTATGAAAGATTCAATAATAAAATTTAGGATCAAGTTGTCTCTTGGGATGTTCTTCGCCAATCATTCCCTGACCGTTCATACAACACTCCTTTCTTGACTGAACAGTCCTCCGATGTATCAGCTTCAGCACAATACCAGTCAGATCCATTCCATTTTTTTGCAATGTTAATGGCATAACAAACGAAACGTTTAGCACGCAACCTTTTCCGTTTGGCCTGCGAGTAAATGTAGTCTGTGTGAATGAACTTGAGCTGCTCGATTCGTTGAGAATGACAGTTCTCGGAACCTCGTCTTTTCTGCATACGTGGGATCCAGTTTCGGAGACGTTCTTATCATCCGGAGGCGCAGAAAATATGCTAAACAAGCTGATTATCAGTGGTAAGGATGAGACGATGAGCAGTAGGTGAGCAAGTAACTTCAGTTCAATATGTATATCTACTAATGTGATGTGACTCAGTCTCCTAAAGCGATTTTTAGACATTGGTACTTTGATGCGACGCTTGGAGGTATTCCTCAGTGTTTTACGAACACGGTAGGCTCCATGATTCCCATCCATGAATCACGCGTCTAAATGAGAACCCAGACGCAAAGAGGAAAGCGAAACGGTCCATGCTTTCTCTCATGCGCTCTCTGTGGTGCTCGTCTATCTACGTAACCAGCTTTCTCGTGGGCCCCTATCTAACTTCTGCATCCCTGTCTCTTCAAAGACCCTATCTGGAACATGGTTATATTATGAGGGTTTTGAAGAAATTGTCGTCTCTCTAGCGTCACTTTGCCAAAGGGTACGTCCGCTGGCGTTTTCTCGTTTACTTCTGACATACTCTTTCAGGGCCTTGGACTGTCTCCCTCGCGATATCCGCGATTCACGATGAAACCAGTGGCTTTACTTTCTCGAATATACAAATATCTCGATACCCATTTTCGTAAATTGTCTTCCCGGACTTTGATTGCTGTGTTTGCTTATCTCCTCACAATGACCTCAAAAAACTACTTGCAGGCATTGTGTCGCTCAGTTGCCTACGCTGACAGCAATAACCAACTGGCAGCAACAAGTCAGCAGCCTCAGCGGACTGCAATTGGTCCTTTGGACCTCGAAGACTTCGATCAGGCGTCGCCCGAGGATGATGGAGTTCTCTTTGCTGAAGATGATGAATTGCCGTCGTTTATACCACGCGATTTGGTGGATGCATTGCCAGCCGCTCAAAAATCTCTCAAATTGCTCGCTGCCGCAAAACCCGGTCATCCTATACTAAATCCCCCGGTGCAACGGCCGTTCATTACTTGGGTCTGGTCAACCAGAGACATTGAATACTTATGGAGAACGGGGTCTTTTGACGAGGCCGGTGATGTGGCGCCAACTATCAGCTCTCACAGTTCCCCTGATCTATCTTCGGCTGATGCTAATCTCCATGGATGCGACTACCAGCCCGACCTCGTCGGTTTTCGGGTTTTCGACCTGGAGCCTGGCTCAAACGGAGATGATACATTTAATGAGCACTCGATGCACGCTGCATTGGAAAGCTTCATCTTGTCCTTTCCACCCGTCCTTCCTTCAATCACCCCGAGCCTGAGTCTCCTGACTAGCCTAGTTTTTTCTCCGCTCATCTCACACGCCGCCTCCCTTTCTAATGCACTGTTATCGATATTTCTGGACCAGAACTCGTTCCTCTACGTACATGACCATCTGGTTCTGCTTCGTTCACATATGCTCCTGACCTCTCCATTATTCAAATCACGACTTACAGCTGCTTTGTTCTCTGACACCGATGACCGCGAGGTTGTTGCTGGAGGCGGAAAATTATTTGCACTGTCCCGGCAGAGGAGCAGATCTGCCGCTGGTGTGGCTCAACATGGCACCAGTCGTTGGGCTGTCGGCTTAGCTCCGTTCTTGACAGAGCGAGGGACATGGCCTCCTGGGGGTGCCGACCTTAGCTTTTTCTTGAGAACAGTCATCGTGGACTCTCAGGACACGTGTTCATTTGGCCCCGATGATAGCAAGGAGCATGAACTTGGATCGAGGCGCATAGCACAAGAAGCTGAAGTTCGTCTTGGGTTCGCCATCAGAGACCTCTCCAGCGATACGGGACGTGAACGATGGCTCAACCCACTTTGTAAGCTATGTTTTCCTTATGCATTATATGTACACACTAACTCATCATGTGCACTTAGACATCGAGTATGTAGCATCGTTTTTGCTGCAGAGGGAACGTGTTCATGAATTTCTTGACCAGGGCATTAGACTTTCTGTATCTTGACTACAAAGTTCCTCATCCTTTGGATGTTATTATCACACCAGGGACTACATCCAAATACCAAAGGATCTTCTCGTTCCTTTTACGTGTGATCAGAGGTGAGCCATGATTGTCTTGTACTTGCACATACGTTCAACGAAACTGTGTAGTGGAATCTGCCATTCGAGCGGCTTTTCGCATGACACATCAGAATGTACTTTTTCCGACCTTCAACCAATCTAGGAAACTCCTCACTCATTTCCGCTTCGTGGCGCATTCATTCGTAAATGCCCTCTCCACGTATATATCTGATGTGGCAATCGGGGGCAACTTCGACGCATTCCTGGCTCGAGTCACTGCATGTCGTTTGGGAACAAGCTCCGAGTTTACTGATGTCTTTTCGCTCGCCGACGCTCACTCCGCTGTCTTGAACGACATCCTCAGTGCTTGTTTGATGCGCTCAGCCCAACAAGCAGCTGGTGACCTTCTTCGTGGGATCCTAGAACTTATCCTAGAACTCTGCGTTATGATCGGTGACCTCAACGACGGGCAGTTGCAAGAGTACCAAGCGTCATTAACTCTTGATGCACTCTTTGCTGCATTTCGCAATAAAATGTCGACTATGGTATGTATTACATTTATGTTGCTAATAGGCTGATTCCGAATCCTTCGGTTGCAAGATCAAAGTCCTAGAGGTCCTGTTGGAGAAGGATTTGAAATCATCGCAACGTCAGGAACTCTTGCTTGCATTACAGGCACAAAGCGATGTTTGCCACGCCCCTGGTGGGGTGGAGGCGTTACGCCACCTCACATTACGCCTGGACATCAACGAATGGTGGAAGAACTTGAACTCGTAAAATGATTGCGGTCTAATGAAGTATGCAGTGATTACCTAATGTTATGAGATGTGTAGTATGAATTCCTGTATCGTATAAAACATAACCATAAAAAAAACACTAGTCATAAGAAATAAATAGCGCAAAGGTTAGAGCGCTGAATGGCTACATAGTAACACTGGGGCAACGAAGATAATTTGCTTTGAGGTAGGTGTTTACTCGCCGATCTAATCTTCAAATGCTTCATCGAACGGCTTGTCACCACCCATACCTGACGCTGACTTCGCTTTCGACTCTCGTGCAATCCGGCCACATTCCCTAGCCCATATAGCCCTGACTTCCTCTTCACGTACATCACTGGCAGCAGAGTCGTCAGTCACACCCAGGCCACGCAGGACTTCATCTGCGCGAATGGTCTCCGCAAGTTTTACATTTTGCCCTGTTGTTGCTCCCTTCACTACTCCACCGAATGATACAGCTCGACCGAGCGCACGACGTCCAGTCTTTGACGGAGAGGCAGCTGTCACGCGGGCAGACCTTGACACCACGAGTCCTATGGTTTCTAGCATTCCTATCAGGTCTGAAAACTCGCTTCTGGAAACTGGGGTGAAGATGTCGTTATCTGCACGTGTGAGCACAGTTGAGTAGTATGCATGCAGCTGTGCAACGTCAAGCCCAGCAGTTCTTTGAGAAACGACAGAGCCTGCGCGCTTCACAGGGGACTTGGTAGGCGTTGAGGTGGTGGATGTAGAAAAAGACAAAGTGGCCTCCATCCGCTTTGATGCAAGAAGTATGCATAGGAGAGCCAGTCTGACTTGCAGGCCGAGATTACGGACCTTGGACACGATCTCATTGCTGGTAGGGGATGGTGTTGAGGAAAAGGAGGAGCGGCCACCACTAGTGGAAGGTAGATACGCTTTAAGGGCTGCAAGGATGTGATTTGGCTTAACGATGAGAGGTGGAGTTGTGAGAGGATTTGCATCTGTATCTGGGACCTTCGAACCCGCGACAGCCAGATCTATTGCCCCTCGAAGTACCTCAAATAAGGCTCGAACGTCGCCAGTTTGCGAGGCAATTTTCTTCGTGAGGAGAGCTAATGTTGAAGGAGGGAGGAACTTTTTGGCTTGTTCTGTTGCTTCTGGGTATTCCAGATTATCGTAGAGAGGCGAGAGACGTGCTTGGAGCACGTGGATAAGTTGCTGGGAAGAGTATGCGCCGAAGTGAAGGGTCAGGGCGCTGGAAGCTTCATGAGTAGACAACTGCGCCAATGACGATGTAAGGGTATGTGTGTTTGCAATTCCGATGATGCGGAGGGTGGACGAATGTTTTTGAGACATAGAGAAAATTGACGACAGTGATTGATTTGAAGATGCAATGTGGTCGAGCTCGTCAAGCACAACAATGCTGGTACCGAGATCAGATGGCGAAATGAGCAGTGGTGCCAGTACATACCACCTATGATTTAAACTCGAGAGTGCTTTCCTCGACCGTCTGCTTGCCCTTGGCTTTGCCAGGTTTTGCAGGATTCTTGGAAGCCCCTGTGCAATACAATTCTTCGTAAAGACGATCCCAAAGTGCATCCAGCCCATTCAAGGCCATGCAATTGATAGAAACGACTCTCAGGTCCGACGTCCCTTCGGACTCCTGGAACGAACGCAGGACCGAGTTAACAAGCGCAGTCTTTCCTGTTCCAGGTGTACCGGAGATGTACAGAGATGTGTGTGCACTATCACACCACGACGAGGTGATGAATTTTAGAACGCACTGTCGTTCATCCTCTCGGCCAGCTATAGGAGATACATCTGTGCTGGTCGAACGAAGTAGTCCACGGGCACGGGTATACACAGGAAGTAGTAAGACTGGGGGTGTTGGTGGGGGAGTAGATATCGCTAATGTACGAATGGAACGTGGTGTGTCGATTGTTACGTCATTCCACGACTCAGTACGGAATGGAGGTACGTTTTCCTGTTTGAATCTCCTGCAACGCCGGAGAGCGAGATACGGGCGCGTTTGGATTTAGGGCTCTGTTCTGGGGTAAGCATATGCTGCGATAGCATTGCAATGTCACTTGTAGATGCTGATGAGATAGCCTTTTGGTCGACATGATGAGCACGCTTGCCAAGGACTGAACCAGATGACCGTGTTTGCATGATTGAAGATTGAAAGTAACACGGCTTGTGTGATTAGTGACGTTGACTAACTGTCGCCCAAGTGCTAAGATGGACGTTGACAAGAGACTGGTGAATGAACAAGTTCAGGTTTTGACCCTACTGTGGACAATTCGCATTATAGCGGGTTCCAAATTTCAAGCTCCGCTGATCACTCATTGTTTCAACGCGACGCGTAAGTCATGTGACTCTAATCGCGTCGTACTAATATTAGATTTCGTGTTCTTCTGATCCCCACCCGGACCGCTTGCCGGCACTGCCTGTTCGAAGTTCATCTGGTGTGACCATCATCATGGAGTGGTGTTTGAACGGCCCGACCAGGCTTCTGGCTTCATTACACGCTAATGCTATCCGCAGTACTTACTCGGTACCCTTTTCTAACATTCTTTTTTACCACGTTCGTTGCTCCTCACCCTTTCCTTGCCCTGGCAGAGTGTCACAGAAAACCTGACTGTAAGCATGCATCGCTCGCTTCCAGCCTTGACCTTTGTTCTCGCTTTGCAGTCTTTTGAGGTTGCAGGCGGCGCTGTATACCTGCAAGGACCGGTGTAAGTTCATGTGACACAAGCAGCAGATTTTTTCTCATTATGGGATTAGATCTATGTCTCCTCGCGATGACGGGGATAGTGGTGACGACGGTGATAGTGATGATGATGGTCCATCCACTAGCAGGACGACTTCTACCAGTACGACCTCTACATCTACATCTACATCTCAGTCAAGCTCGAGCTCCAAAACTCCTACCTCGGGCACGCTAACCAGCCTCAGCTCGAGTTATACCAGTTCCTCCAACTCATCCCAGAATAATGGGTCTTCGACTACTAGTCAAGGACTTAGTACTGGAGCACGAACTGGTCTAGCATTTGGGATAAGTGAGCTGGCATTATCAGAGCCTTTCTCACAAATATTGACTCAGTGTTTCCAGTGTTTCTCTTAATATTCTGCGCAATGCTAGTGTGTTACTTGAGGAAGCGATCTCGTAGGGCTCGGGAGAGTGTCAATTATGGACCTACCCTTCTGTCCTCAGAAGTGAGTCAATACCGTCCCCCCGACTCTGCTACATCTCTAGAGAGAGATCTTCCACGTCCGCCTCAACTGGATACTGTATCTCCTAATTCACCTGATATCTCGCATTCCTCTTCCCTCAGCAATTTCAAGCGCCGCTCCCTTACTGAGCGATAATTCACATCCAAGTTCACACCATTACAGCGCATTGTCGCAGGCATCAGATTCTCACCTGATAGCTACTCAAAACGCGCCTATTCTCCCAAATCCCTACGACCCATTCTCGGCACCCGCCCGCTCTG